GAACCGAGATGACTCCTAGACCTTCCCCTCAGAGGATGAGGAGAGAACCACTTGGTTGCCAGACACCATAATGTTTCTGGTCTGAGGATCAATCATTCTTGAGATACTTTCTTCTATTATCAATATCTCTCAGAATAATTTTCTTGAAATTTGCCTTTGCAAATAAACCTACATTGTTAAAATGGAATACCAAGAGTTACATCAGGACCTGTGCTTTCTCCCCATTTTTCCTATCTATTGGGTTCATCCTAATAATCAGCATTATCCTGAGCTAAATAAATACATAACATTATGCAATATTGACTTTGCTGGAAAAGGTTACTTGGCTGTAGGATGCTTAGTAAAATGTCTACTGGAGGCCTTCTGTTGCATTGTGTGTTTGCTGCCTTTTGTAGTATTTCTATTTGGTCCACCCTCTGATGTATGGCACACAGTTTTTCTCTTATATGAGGTAAAGACTTCTATATAAGGCTGTATAAGGTAAAAACCTCACCCAAGTCAAGCTTAAAATTGGATGACTCCATGGTTGTGTATGTGTAGTTTTTGTGACAAGGATATGGAAGAGATTCCGCACAGTGGCTTTTCAAGATTTTTCTTTTTTTTCAAACACCATTGGGAGATCTTGGTGATCTCTTACGCAAGGATCAGCAAAGATCAGCTTTGTGCTGGCATCTGCTTTGAGGAACAAGTACAGCCAGGCAATCTGAGGCAGGAAGAGAATGTGCCAACATGAAATTCCAGAAGTCAAAATGATTGAATTATTAACCAGTTCCTACAGATTGGGGGTTTTTTTTCCCTGCAGGCAGTACTATTGCTGATATATTTTCAAGCAGCGGTAGGCATGCCAAACGTTTGACCTTGTTTAGGAGAATGAGTCATTTCCCATGGTAAGAAATCACTAACTGGGTGAGGGAGAGATAAATAATAAATTATTGCCAAGGCTTAGGAGACATTCAATTCCAGTAACTTCTGCTGATATCATCCTGCTTGGCTACTATCAGCCTGTCAGTTACACCAAGCTGTCTGGAAAAAGAGCGCACAATATATCAGAAGCTGGGTCATACTTTATGGGCAATTCTATTTGTGATGGGTACAGTCCACAGCTAACATGTAGGCTTGGTTTTGTTTTTTTACCCATTGTTTATTTGAAAAGTATTAGTTTATGAAAGATTTCCAGCAAATGAGACCTGCTCACCTGTTTATAATCTGAAAAGCACGATATAAAAAATTTATATTTTTATAAATATATAAAAGTATATATTTTTATACTTTTCAAATACGAGATACAAAGAAGAAAACAAATGTGAGCATTGGGGTTTTTCTTAAATATTATTGAAATATAAAATACAAATGGAAATAAGGATTAAAGGGGAAAGAAGTGTGAGATGAAAAGAAGAAGGAAAAAAAAAGCAGTGACTTCTGACTCCACTGCAGTAGAATAGAAAATACAGTTATGGCCTTCCCTTTTTGCTTTATATTTCTGATAGATATAAGCCAGATTCACTTAACAACTGTGACAAGAAAGGTTGTAAAATGGGGCAGAACTCACTTAACTGTCTTGCTTAGCAATGGAAATTTTGGCTCAACTGTCGTTAAGTAGAGGACTACCTATTCTCTACGGTAGCCTCAAATCAGAGTCTCACAGTACCTTTTAAAACAGATCTTTATTATAAGGCAGTGATGGCGAACCTTTTAGAGCCCGAGTGCCCAAACTGCAACCCAAAACCCACTTATTTAGTGCCAGGTGGGCGTGGCCCACTGGGTGGGCGTTGCTGTGGTCATGGCAGACTGGGTGGGTGTGGCCAAGGTGGGCATGGTCACCTTGATGTTGCTCGTGGGGAGGGACGCCTGTGGGGGCCGGGCAGGGTTGGGGGAGATCCAGGGGGTCTCTGGCAGGTAGGGTGGTGAGCAGGAGGCTCGTCCTGCGGGGTGAGGTGAGGCAGGGCGGAGGTGCCATTGTCACAGGGCAAGGCGAGGCAGGGGCCAGGGCAGCTGCTGCCCGACACCATCGGCCTCCGCACACAGAAGCCAGCAAGCGCATGGGGGCCGACAGTGTCTTGTCAGCAGCCACAGCCTGCCGGCCCCTCAACCAGCGCACTCTGGGGCTCCGCAGCCCACCACCAGCAGCTCAGAGAAGTGCCACCTCTGTTCGCCACCACTGTTATAAGGCATAAACGTTTGGCACATCTGATGAAGTCGGGTAGAGTTCACAAAACCTTTATGCCTTATAATAAAGTTAGGGTTTTTTTTAAAAAACAATGCTGCTAGACTGGATATGAATATGATCTTTACTCTGAAGTCTTAAGTGTTAGGAAACATTTGCTCCCCTTGCTTTATTTCAGGAAACAATAATAGAGAAATGACAAAAAATACACAGAAGTGATGTTCTGATCTTCAATTAAAAACAAATGCAGTATAAGCCCATGCCAGTTATAGGCACTTGTGCATGGGGAAGATGTTTCACAGCTGGGGTTCTTCCCTCTTTAGTCAATTTATGGGGCATCTACTGTAGGCAGCTTCTTACTTAGCTGCGGCTATGGCCTTTGCCATCTTTTCCATTAGGAATGGAGACTCGGTTTTGTGTTAAGGTATCGTGAATGGATTTCACCCAGAGAAGAAGGAAAGGTTTTGCTTATATACTGCCGTCTTATCATTATTGCATCTTTGATTATGACATCGGGTCATCGGATACATAGCGGGTAATTGGTTATAGCAGGGGTCCCCAACCCCCATTCTGTGGACTAGCGCCAGGCCAGGCAAACAAGTGAAGCTCCGTTCATAGCATGCAGGCAGCATGTAAAACCCCCCCCCCCTTCGATCTGCGGAAAAAATCTTCTCCACGGAACTGGTCGCTGGTGCCCAAAAGGTGGGGTGGGTGCTGGGTTATAGTACTCTGTTCTGCCCCAATGTGGTCCCCATAAGAGATCTTGGAATGTCAGATTCAGGGATCTATTGCAACTTAGGGGTGAATATAGCCAAGTAACAGGAGACGACCACAATGGCAGCTTCTGTTACAGTGGTAAGTCTACTACATCCACAACAACCTGCCATGCTGAATGGATAGTAAATTGAGCTGCACATTGCCAAATCTTTCTTGTCCTCTAGAATTAGCCACTGGAAATACCAGAATGGGAAAATCAATATTATGCCATCAAGAATAAAAAAATAGTTGCCTGTTTTAATCTAAAATGCAGTGAGAGATTATTGCTTCCTAGCCTGTTCCTCTCTCCCTAAAAGGCACAATGGGTGCATTGTAAATGTGTCCTTACAAAAGAAGACTATTAAACCAATTATTCTGTATATCAGAATATTGATAACATTCATTCACTGAATTGTCTTTCTACCTGATCTGTTACATAAAGGAATCCAGAGCAGCAGTTTCACTGATCTCGGTCTTTGAGATTTTTTTTTCTAGAAGTCTTCACTACATGGGGACATGATGGCATTTAATCATAGGTCAGGATAATGATTCAGAATTGACTATGTAGCAGATATCCAGCAGACAGAAATAGCTAGAAGGGTAGAAAATTGGTTGAAAAATTGACATTGCTGACTGATATAGGGAAATTTGAGCCCACTTATTCTCAGATCAAGGTGGTTCTGCAGAACCCAGACCCTGGAACCAGACTGTCTTTCTAAGTAATGGTATGTGGGAAAGACCTTGGGAGATGGTACAAAGAGATGTTACTCTTTAATGTATACTGCTTCCTAACACAGAATGAACATTAGGAAGAGCTAGCCGTCTTTAGGAAGAGTTTCAGCTAATTCTAAAATACCTTCTACATGCCAACATTTCCTTTATGTTTGCTGTAATTCCTTTGGTAGCTAACTTGTCCCAATGACTTTCTATAATTCTGTTTTTGATACTGATCTGATCGGTGGCCAATCAAGTTGTTTTTAAAAAACTACTTCCCTTTTTATAAGTTGTGTAACATAAGGCATCTTGGTAAGTGGAACTTTGTTTTTCTCACTATAGGTACCATACAACTACAATGAACATTAAGCTATTGAAAGCACAGGGACTTACTTTGCCATTGTTTTCTTCCAATATCTCTTTTATTTTATTTTTTATTTCCTAGTCTAAGCTACTGCTCTTGGATTTCCTGGTTGTCCTATGTTACTAATGTTTTTTGGGGATCAGCCAAGATCAGTGCTTCCACCTGGCTTTTCAGATTTTTATTTATTAGTTTAAAAAAAAAATAGCTACCAAAGTACTTTACAGGTAATACATTTAAGGGAAGAATCTTTTTAGCTAATATGAATAGAGGTAGTCCTTGCTTAGTGACTGCCTTACTTAGTGACAAATTGCAGCTACAGTACAATGATGATGAAAAAGTAATTTTGCAACCAATGCCCACATTTACAACTTTTGCAGGTCTGTAAAGCAAAAATAAAATTGAAGTAAGATCATAAGCATAGTCACAGTTTCATGTACTGCACCGTTTTTGCTTAACAACTGAATTGCAAGTCCCAATTGTCACTAAAAAAAAGATGACTTATATTGTTAGTTCTAATACGCCAAGACTGCCAAATCAACTTTCATCCTTCCTTGCTTTATTTATTTTAGTGGACTTTAGTCTTATGTGAGTTGTGAATACAATCAGACTTGCTAGTTTTACATCCCCAAACTCACTGGAATGAATTGTGAAAGTTATGTTTCTATGGAGTGTATTTCAGTTGTTAGGATTCATCCTTCAGTGACTCTGGTGCATAGCTCTATCTGCTTTCTCTCACATTATAATTAATAAAAAAAAAAAAAACAGCATGCATCAATTATTTGCATCCAGATGTTCTTCCCGGAAAAAACTTCTGTGAATTTCCTCGAGAGGGCACCAAACACCAACGCAAGCTTGCATTGTGGCCTGCAGCCATCCCAGCAATCTGCATAAAGGCGTCTGAGGTAAGAGGGTCTTGTGACCACACCAATGTGACCAGATGGCACGGCACTCCCCCACCCCACCCTCAGCAGCACAACAATCAATCCTCTTAGACTCGTACTAATGACTGCCAAAGCTGCTGATCAAACAGAAATCATGGCAGAGCTGCTAGATCAGTCTGAGAACAATCTGCTTGAATGCAAAGTGTGCTTTGAAAAATACAGCCTGGAGAAAAAACATCGACCGAAGAACTTACCATGCGGGCATGTGATGTGCCTGGAGTGTGTCATGTCTCTGGCCCACCCTCGGAATTTCAGGCTGGAGTGCCCTTTCTGTCGCAGGGCTTGCAAGTCTTCAGAGACCAGCGACTGCTTGCCGTTGTTGCACCTGATGGAAATCCTGAGTCCTTCAGCCAATCAAACTCCAGTTGCAGGAAGGACGGTGGGGAGAAGGGAGGCTGTGGCTGCCCCTGGATCTCAAGTCTTCACGTTTCATCTTTCTTTCGGAGGCTGGGGAACGCTGATCAACCCCACGGGGCTGGCCGTGTGTCAGAGCTCGAGCTGTTTAGCGGTAGCCCATGATGGCAAGAAAAGAATTAAGCTGTTTAGCTTCAGTGGCAGCTGCCTACAGCAGTTTGGAGAAAAGGGGCAATCGGGAAATGACCTCAGGTACCCAACTGACGTCGCGGTCACTTTGGATGGTCACGTTGTGGTCGCCGATAGCGGGGACCGTTCGGTCAAAGTGTTCGATTGTGATGGCAGGAGCAAGATGGTCATCGCAGAGTCCTTTTCCTTGCCGTGGGGCCTGGACACGATGCCACAAAATGACATCCTCATGACCGATTCGGAGGCAGGTGCTCTGTACCGCTTGTCGGCTGACTTTAAAAAGGGAGAATTAAAGGGGGTGAAAAAGCTGTACTCTAACCTGTGTCACCCAAGGAAAGTGGCTGTTTCGCCTGTCTCTGGAGCCATCGCAGTCATCGAACATTTGATGGACAAAGGGCCCTGCTACGGCAATACCAGGCTGAAAATCTTCAACAGAGACATGCAGCTAATCAGCCAGGTGGACAGTTTTGGCCTGAATCTTGTCTTCCCTTCCAAAGTCCATGCCAGTGCTGTGACCTTTAGCAGGGAAGGGCAAGTAATAGTAACTGATGCTTATAACCAAGCCGTATTCTCTCTTGGAAAACCTGAAGAATTCCCTATGTGTAAACCTTTGATAACTCAGGGTCTTTCCTACCCTTTAGCATTAACTTTCATATCAGACCATTCTCTAGTTGTTTTGGATGGTGGCGATCATTCTTTAAAAATATATACTCTCAGCTAAACAGTGGTCTGGGTGGGATCTCAGCTCACAATTTCAAGGAAGATTATTCAAAATGCTTAATTCTCCAGCTGGTGGGTTTGAGTGTTCTCTGGTTTAGCTGTAGTGGATTTTAGTTCAAACAGGTTGAAACAAACTTAACTCTACAGTTTTATATCTCCCTCCCTGAATGGAAGTCATGTTAACTTATTTCTGAGTAGAAGTGCACTGCCAAATGACCATCCCTAGTAGAATTACTGTAGTAAAATATATGAAGCCAGATGTGACCTACTTTGAAACTGTATGTATTCGGTTCTGGGTAGGATGAGTTTCTCTTGGGTTATAGATGATAGAAAGCCAGTCTATTTGATCTCTTTACACCAGAAACTTAGGGTTTCTTAAAACAAAATAAAGGATTCTTTTCTTTTCTGCATTATTAAATCATTCTGATTTGTGTTCGTTTTTCTAACCTGATGCCCTCCGGTTATGTTGAGCATGCCAATCACATTATTTCTAACCAATGAGACTGAGGATTCTGGAAGTTGATATTTCATTTAAATTTGTAAATTTAGAAAGGCTGGTTTATAACCAAGACGGACCCAAGAAACACCAGGGAAAATGATATTTGTCAGTTATTCTGGGAATAGTTGGTTTCAGTAAATACTTTGCAGTGTCATCATGTAAGTAATTTAGAATGGAACAAAACAGGGTATTGGAGTGACATGTTCACAGCTAGTCAAGGCATGAGGATGACTCACATCCATATCATTATATTAATTTATTTTAAACACCTTGCAGCTAGTTAAACCAGTGCAAACCTGCATGTGGAGAACATTAAGCATTAATGTTAAGTGTTAAGATAATTCTGTACTAGCTACAGAATATCTGTCAAAGAAAAGATATAGTTTAAATCAACCATTTCATCAGTGTAAGGGATAAACTACTGTACATATACAGAGTTACGTTTTACATCATGTATTCCTTTCTTTAATGGGTGTGAATGAAATACATAACATATAATAAATAGTGATATTTTTGATGCATTTGTATGCAGGTAACATATATCTAAATGTATTAACTATGTGTGTGAGTGAGTGAGTGTGTGTGTGTGTGTGTGTGTGTGAGAGAGAGAGAGAGAGAGAGAGTGTGTCTTAAGAACTATAAATTCAATTTAAATTGAAACCTTCCCTCCCAAAAAACCAAGGGAATTCTGGCAATTTACCTTGGAGCTATTTTTCTGCTCAGTATTATCTACCATGGTTGCTTTCATCCAAATAAACATCCATAAAATTAGCTTCAAAGAATAAAATATAGTTGGAAACCCACTGGAAACCCACTTTTACTTGGCAGGGGGTGGGAGGGGGAATTTAAGCATTTTTACCCCACCATCTTTTCCTTTAAAAGGTAAAGTCTCAAAAAACATGCTCTTTTTTAAAAAACAAAAACAAGCCCAAAATACACATGGTTGCAGCTAACATATATTTGACTTAGATTTAAACTTCCTTCAAAATCAACTAGTTAACTTCATTAACGCACCCATGGAAAATGGGGGAATAGTTTGCCATTGTTTTCTTTCAGTTTTTTTCAGTTTTCCAGTCTAGTCTGCAACTAGATTATTCTCTGTGATCTCCTATCCAATTATCAACTTGACCCAATCTTACTTAGCTTTTAAAGTTACACATGGTTAAGCAGGTGCTGCTTCCTGCTTTTTCAGTCTTGGTGTTGTTAGGATTCTAGAATTTACAACATGAGGAATGCAAATGTATTCCTCACAACACAAGACATACTGTTGTTGCTGTTTTCTAAACAAGAACAGGGATGAACTTAAAGAATCTGTGTTAGCAAATTATTTTCCACTCTTGGGGGTTTAAAAAAATGCAGTGCACTGTTCATCGGTTAATCTGGTGGAATTTTACACTTTGCCTAGCATCCTTATGTAAATTAAAATTGTTGCATATGAAAAACTCATGAGAGGCTATAAAAACATCATATTCTTGGAAACACACATGGAAAAATAATTCTGAGTCAAATGACTGAATTGCGTCCAGAGGTCTTCTGAGTGGAAGAATAAGGAAGGCAATATTTGTCATTTCTCCATCTTCTCCTTTATGCTCTGGAAGGCTGGGACATTCCCTTGAATAAAGAAGCACTAAATTAGGACTTATTGCAATTTGGGCCCCATCCTCTATTCTCAGAGCAAACTGCTGTTAAATCTTGGATCCTTTTGCCAATAGAAGAAAACATTTTGATTCATCGGAAGCTAATTCTGGATCCTTGCCATGATTTGTACAAAATTTACCATCTGATATGTTGTAGTTAGAATAGGAATGGAATTAGGATAAAAATAACGTTTACTTTTTCCCCCCTTGGTTTTTGGAGAAAACGTTGGCAGTCAAGTATCCTACACTTACTTCTGGCAAAAAATAAGTTTCACATCAGCACAGACGTGATACCATCAGAAAAGTATCTCCATGTTCATTTAGAGAAGTAAAGCTTTACAGTATCTTCCAAAACTGACAGGATTAAGAAGTATTTTCAATACTAGTTCCATGCACTGAAAAGTAAAATAAAGGTCAACAAATTGACTTCAAGAGGCAGAAGAAATGTTTGTACTGTACACAGTTTGGATTAGTGTATATACAGTATATATATATTGCCCACATCCACAAAACAAGTATTAAGGTTATTTTTAAAATAACCTATAAATAATCACAGTAGCATTTGATTCATTTAATAGCTCTGGGCCAAAAGAGATGTAGTGCCAGTAAATTGAGTTGGATCTCTTGAATGTTGTTTTCATTTTAAGTCATGAGGTTTAATTTTCATATTTCTGCCAGGAAGTCTTTCATTTCAAAAAATCTCTTCTATAAGCAGGAATAAGAGCAGCCCTGAATCACATTCAACTTGCAGGCATTCCTATATTGGTGGCTTTCAGAATCCCCCAGAACAGAGGGGAACCAAAAACATTAACCCTTTTTAAAAATTTGTAGGCAGGTAAGAAAAAAAAATCTTAAACACAGAGAAAGCTTAAGATATCCATTGTATGCCACAATATCCCCCACCTACCTTCCCATATTGGAAAAAAAAGTTATACTTTTTGGAAGGAGATTCCTAACATAAACATTACAGCAAGGGTTTCCTTTTTCATCCGCATGCTCTATAAGAGTGGAGAATCTTTTCCTGTCCAGTTATCTCTGGATTGTGAGTAAAAATGAAGACCGAAATGGGCAAGGCCATCCTTTACTTATTTTATTTCTCTTTTTCCTATCTCCTTCCTTCCTTTCCTTCCCTTCCCTTCCTTTCCTTTCCCTTCCCTTCTGACACCAACACCAACACCCCCTTTAGTTTTGTTTTGGTTTGGGTTTTTTTTTTGCCACAAAAGGAGAACATAGAAGAACTCTGGAAAATGTTATTTTCTCAAAGGAATTACAGGTAGTCCTCACTTAACAATCACAATTGGGACCACCAACTCTACTGCAAAGCAATATGATCATTAAGCAAGATGTAACTATGATGGATTTATAACCTTACTTCTACTCAATCATTAAATGAGTCACTTGTGGTTGTTAAGCGAGACATCACGACTGCAATTTGCAATTTTATTGCCAGATTCTCCATTGCCTCTGCTTGTCAGAAGCCAGCTGAGAAGTTCACAAATGGCAGTCAATGTGACTGTGGGATGCTACAACAGCCATCAACACCCACCGCAGTTGCAATGTGCTTGAAACTTCACCATGTGACTGTGGGGATGCTGTTACGGTTGTAAGTGCAAGTACTGATCATAAAGTTACTTTTTTTAACACCATCATAACTTCAAACAGTTGCTAAACCAGGCAGTACTTAAGTGAGGACTAGCTATACATTCAATAAATTCAACTTGGTATAGTATGACATATACTGACTATATTAAGGTAAGTATATATGAGAAAATTGCCTCCCTTTGTCATATTCTTTTGAAGATTACATTTCATAATAAAAAATGACATTCAACATTGATGCAGTTAAAATTATTTCAGGGCAACATAACCTAAATCCATCAGCAAACACTGCAGATCTATTTTGTGTTAGAGTGAAAGTATTTGCAGTTTTGTAAACGGAAGGAAAGATAGCCAGTGAAAAGAGAAGAACTTCCTTTCGATTCTGTCTCCATCAGTACCCCAAGTTGGACTTGCTCACCTGATTAAGCTAACAGCTCAATGTTATTCTTCTTGTATTTGTAGTTTTGATTCTGAACTGACTTGAAATGAGAGTGAAAATCAGACAAGTACAGTATAGGCAATAGGCAGTGGAAATGACCCTTACAGAATTCAAACTCAAAAAAAGGGGGCAAGAATGGAGTTCCCTGCACCCATTCCCCATCTCTCCATTATTCTTTACATTTTAAAGAAACACACTGAATGGTTTTTATGGACTTGCAAACTGCATATGGGACAAATATTATCTATTGCTTGCCTTCAAGGAAAATAATAAAACCCCACAAACATTCTAAAAAACAATAATAGTACAATATTCAAGCAGCACCATTTCCAGAATTTAGGAAACTGAGAAACGACACATTGGATGACTTCCTACAACATTTTACATTGTGCTAAATTGGAACGTGATAGTTTGTTATTTTGAACACTGCAAGAACTTAACCTTTCTTTTAGCAAGTTCTTGTATGAGAAAGGCCAGCACGTTAATCCATAATTTTGTTTAGCTGGATGTGAATTATATGAGACCCAGATTTCGGTTTTAGTATGTTGCGTAAAATCCTCCGTTTAAAAACAGCTATTGCTCAGAAACTGCCATCAGGGATGTCCTTTTTTTCCAGTTCAGGGACATCACAATCACATGGAATACAATGTAGCAATGTTACACAGAGCAAAATTAAAGTCAGAAAAAATTGCAAACAAAATTCTGCCAGAAGCATGATTGCGTACAATGTAACATTGCTATTATAATATTTTTACCTTAATCTGTCTTCCTCTCCATGAGATCTAGTGAAATAATCATCCATGTTCAAGAAATGAAGAATCATTAGATTTGTGGAATTATCAGATTGTTCACTTAGATGAGGACGAGCAAGGGGAACTGATTTCAACAATTCTTACACAATAAAGAAATCAATCACTGGGCCATTCTACATGCAATATTTGTACTAATCTGGGACAAATGTTGTGCCCTGTGTTCTTTTAACATGGGAGCTTGTTGGCAGTTCTCCAACTCTGTTGCGATGCAGGAAAACATGGTGAAGAGAGTTTTGCAATGTTAATGTTGGAGACTTCCATTGGGGAACTCTATCTTATCTCCAAGGTATTTCTCTCCTCCTTGTTGAAGTCAAAGAACTATAGTGCTCTGCCATTCTTTCCCTGTATTTTTTTTTTCTTCATTGGAAAATAACATTGA